CCTCATCACCGTCCAGGGACATCTTATCGGCCTCGTGCTCCAGCATGTCCTGGTCCTCATAGTCCATTTCAGAATGAGAGAAGACCGCGGAATTGCCGGTATAACTGGTCCCCAGATTCTCGGAACCCGTGCGCCAGGATCGTTGAGTAGGCACATGGAGCCCGGGCTGGGAGTAGGAAGACGGTAGACTGCCAGGTGGCGTGATGTTGGAGCCCCGACGTTCGCGCGCCGGTTGACCTTTTAATCGAGCGTCCCATCGTCCCCAGCCGACCTTTTCGAAGACGACATCGCCATCACGCCCGGCGCCCTCGCCACCTTTGCCTTCAAGCGCAGCCACTACCAAGCGCCTTGCTTTGGCAGAAGTGATGCGGGAGAAGCCGGGCACCGAGGTCGTCAGATAGCCCATAATGTGCCTGATTGCCAATGGACCATGAGACAACAGGATGTCCGGCAGGTGGTGTTTGGCCAGCATGCCGGGGGTGATTGCTCCAGCCGAGTCCAAGTCCCCCAGACCGTCGAGAGCCTCCGCGCTCAGCGCAGTGGTCTGCGACTTGTCGGGAGCATCTTGCAAGTCGATGTCGGAGTCCACCGCCGCACTCTTGGGGGACACAGGCCCATGGTTGCTGCTGTCTCGACGTCGGTGACCACGAGGGGGCAGATTCGGAGAGATGGAGTTCGGAGGCGTTGGCAACATGCCAGGCCGCTTCTTGGAGGACGTTTTGGCCGGTACATCAGTGAAGTTGTCCCTGACCTTGACGGCGTCGCGAGGCTTTGGAATGTCGACGGATGCGGACTTGCCGTGGAGGGCCATACCGAGAGCCGAAACAGTGGGAGGAGCCATTGTTCTTGCTGTGCTGCGATGGATTATCGTGTGAAGGCGATCTGGGAAGGGAATGAGTCAGCTGCGACAATGAGGTGCGTGACGCGTCATGGCAGGAGTGAGACGGTAGTATGCCAGATGTGACTCACCACACGAGAGGTCTCGACAGACTCAAGTCACGATAGCAGTGGACCGGTTTCGGTGGGTGGTTGATGCGCTGTTGGGCAAGGTTGCGCAGTGGTCGAGTACAGGCCAAAGGCGGCTGTTGAGTCGGCGCGGCGGTTGCGTTTCGGGGTGCGAGAGCGTGGCGATTAAAGAGACGACCGGAGCGGTGGCCTCGTTGCGATATCTTCCCTTGGGATGAGGAAGATGAAGAAGAAAAGAAGAAGAACAAGCAGCAGCAGCAGCAGCAGCAGGAAGAGAACGGGTGTTCTGATAACGAAAGCGGGGTGTGGTGCAGGTGCCGATTTGGTTGGTTGACAGGTTGGTATGTTGGTGTGTTGTTGTATGCAGACTTGCAGATGGGCGAGGAGGAGATGCAGCGATGGAGCGTCCTGGGTACAAGTTGCGGGTGGGCAAGATGGTTCGGGGGGTGTGGCTGCCGCCCCGAACGTGCTGGATTCAGGCGTCAGGAATCAAGGCCTGCCACGCCTGCCCAGTGACTGACCAGAAAAGGAGCAGGAGCAGGAGCAAGTCACAGAAGCCCAAGGAAAAGTGGTTCAGCCACAACTCCCGCAAATGGAATGGGCCCACTGCATCATGGTTCATGCATGCTTGCAAGGAAGCCGGCTTCGGTGCTTTTCGGGTGACTCTGGTCATTCTGCTCATTCTCTGGGGTCACGGGTGCGAAGGCCTGCACTCCACTCGCTGACGCTTGCCTTTCTTCGCACACTCCAGCGCGCCAATGACATGGCCTCGACAGCGACACATGGCCCTGCCCTTGGCACCTGTTTGGGGAGTGGTGACAGCCTCATGATATTCATTCCGCTGCTCCTCCTCGAGGCCGTACCAATACTAAATCTCTCTTACAAGCATGGAAAGAAGAGACCCTCTCTCGTACTCCATACACTGCACGGCCTACAGCAGTCAGGCAGAGTTTGGGCGACGAAGCCGCCCTCACCTCTTCTGCCGGCCCAATGGAAGTCCTTATCTATGCTCCTCGTGCCCAGTTGCGACGGCGATGACGATTCTCTTGTTGCGGTCGTTCGTACGCGCTCTGACGTCCTGCAGGAGAATTGCTTGGGCGGAAGATGTAGGCTCTAAAACGTGCTGGCGGATTGTCTCATGATTCCGGTTTTATTTGCTCGATTCCCTCGTATCCTTCTTTGTATTTGGCACACAGATAGCGCAGATCTTCAATTACCCAGATTCCTGTCAGTCGAGGTGTCGATAATATAGACCATGGTCACATTACAATTCCCGGAAGCGCGACTCGTGATCAACATGGGAGCACATTCTCCATTGATTGGCGTCCTTATTTCCCAGCTCCCGTCTGCGAGTTCCCGCACATGGATTGTTGAGATTTGGACGGACTTCATCTTGTAACTTGGGTTTCTGGGTGGATGCAATTTCTTTTGCGACTTCTCTCCTGCGTTGCGCTGACCTTAAGCCATTCTGAATCGATTCTCGTCCTTGCATTGAATCCCCCCTGGCCGCTGAGAGAATTAACAGCCTCAGTAACCACCACTGGGGATATCCACGCGCGCTGCTCCAGACCCGGGATCCTCACTTGCTTCACGAAAGTGAAAGCGCTTCGTCAGTACTCGTGGTATCACCCTTCGTTGATGCCGCGATGGCCTTTGCTGAATCGTAATCTTGGTGATCTTGAAGGCATCTTGCCTCCGGCCAAGTGGACTCTAACAGGGAACGGTGGTGCCCAGGCAGCACGCACCGAGCTTCTACTAAGGAGTCTTCGCATCTCTGCATCCTCGAAGCAGTGGGGACAGGATGCCACCACCCATGCCCTGCTGGAATCATTTGACTGACGCAGGAGGACCCATGTTTGTTCTCTTCGCAGGGGGCAACCCCGGTACCTTGAACCCGCCCTCCGGCTTTGCGGCATTCACTTGTGTGAACGTGCCAGTCGAGAAGTACCCGGCACCCTCGGCTTCGCGCTTCCTCTTGAGTTCAGCCTGCAACTTGGGATCAACCAGCTCGAGTCCCTGAACTGGAGTGAAGGCGATCGAACTTGCCGTGCCAGCCCCTACACCGCTCGTTCGAAGGCCTTGGGCTCTCAACGCGGTGGCATTTCCTGCAGCGCCAAAGCCTCGCAACGATGTGGCCGTGCCGCTGTTCAGACTCGTCGCCGTACCACCAACACCCCACCCGGGATTTTTCTTACTCAATTTGGCCATCGTCCGGCGGTCAATTTGCGTGGCGCGTATGCGCCCATCGTTTTGTGCACCGATCATGCCAAGTCCTACTGTCTCTTCGCCAGTGCCGTAACCCACTTCCCTTTCCTCCTTGCCGAAAGCCATGCGGTTCTGTTGCTTTCTCAATTCAGTCATGGCTGTCGCTTCCTTGGCCTTGCGCGCCCTCCTTCCACCACGCTTTCTGCTCGGCTTATCGTCTGGTGCAGGGAGAGCTTTGACGCCTCTGTTTGGTGGTGGTTCGGTCAACTTGTCCAACCGCCGTAAGCACTCGTTCAGAAGTTGTTCTCCCGTCGATCCGTCGGGAGCTTGATGTACACTGTCCACTCGTGCCGCAAGAACAAGCTTGCCTGACACAATGCGCATTGCCTGAACTCGAAGGTCGTTCGGAATTTCTTGTATAAGTGGTGAGTGGTAGAGAAAGCCTTGTTGTCGGATGCCAACGTTTGTGGCTAGACCGCTCTGTTTCTGCTTTCTTGTGCCCATAGCCGGAATGTTGCGGTCCGGTGTCTTTGCCAGCCCTTTGAGACCACCGGCGAAGTTGAGTAATTGAGCTGCCGTCAACGATCCGATCAGCGCGGTCAGGTTCGGCGCAAACACATTCATGCGCGACTGGACGTATTCGGTCAATACTCTCTTGGCTTTGTCGAGCTTCATCGTCATCTCGCATGCGCGCAATGTCGTTTCCAGTTCCTGCTCACTCAGGTCCTGACCTCTTGTCGTTGTACCTTCCACAGTAACAACCATCAATGTAGGACCGTCTAGAATAGATCGGAGAGGGGCCCCGACGATGTTTTCGGACGACTCGGCTATACGTTTTATATTATCCAGCGGACCATTTTTGATAATGGCGACCGTTTTCGCATAGTCAAGCGGGTTGGTGACAAGGGTTTCCAACTCAGGGAAGCGGGTTGAGTAATGGTCGCGTATGAATTTGTGGACAAGAATGATTTCGCTGTCGATCTGCGTGGAGAGGGAGTTCGACTGGGTGAGAAGCGCATATTCGGGATTGTCCTCGACCGACCCAACTGTTGTTGTACGTTGTTCGGGTGGAATGCTCTGGTAATGTGCTATTTTCTGTGGGATGACCGAACCGTCAGGGCTATATTCGCATTGTGTAAACGAACATGACATAGGTAGCAGATGAGGAGGAGGAGGCTTACCTCTAATACTGGCTCCAGCGTCTTCATCAAGCCGGCAACACTTCTCACATCACGGACACCTCCAAGTCGCATCTTCTCAACCTTGGCTTTTGTCTCCTCTTCATCCTCGGCGGTTCCGAAGGCGCCTGTTTCTGCAGCAGCGAGCTCCTCATCGGCATCTTCCACCTCTTCTTCGTCACCATCGCGCCCTAGATCTGGGCTAGGATGACGCGCGTGCTCGTGGTCCGCTTCTTCCCCATCCTGAAAACTGTTGTCTTGGTGGTCTTTCTCGTCGCCGTCGTCATCAAAGTCGTTAAGGAGTTCGTCAGCAAGTGTCGCCATCTCAGTTTGCAGGTTCTTCCAAATAGGTAGCGAGAGTCAAATTGGTTTGCAGCAGTGCCAGGGTGCAGTGGATAATGTTAAGACCATCATGTGTAGGCAAAGGAACTGCGGAGTGCGAGGCTGCGGTCAAATTTCTCCGCAGCTGCGAGGCTGCCACCACATTCCACCATTTCACGTTACTTGTACAGATAAAACATGAGTTTGTGATGGAGCATATCCCTCAGATTTGATTCTTGGCTTCGAATGGTAAATTACTTCCTACCTACCTAGGTATTTGTGCCCTCCTAAGACGTTACAGGCCGTAAAGTCTGGACAGACGACCACCCTCTACCGGGAGTATAGTTTGTTCTTTCTTCCTTTGAAAACCAATTCCTCCTCGGCACTGCTCTCTTCATCAACTTCGGCACCAGGTGGTTGAACCTGTTTAGCCTTGGAAAGGTTCTGATTCTTATTTCCGTGGGTTAGATCTCCTTCTGTTAGGCTCTCATCCCTTCCTTCGCTTCCAGCATCCAAAGAGCTCTCTGCTGGGAGTCCGTCCGTTCTTGCATCCGCCGCCTCTCCTTCACTTGCTGCCGCGGATTCATCTCCTTGACCACCTGACAAATTCCGTTGGGGGCCCAGAAGGGATGCGAGAAGTTTATCTGTATCGAACGGTACGCTGGACATTCCTGTAGTTGAGTCCGGTAGTCTCGCTCTTCTAGGCCGTCTTGACAGGATTTGGTCCTGTAAGTCTAAACGGATGCGTACGAGCATTTTCTGGAGCAGTCCGAAGGTGTGATGCTGTTGGGGCCGTACCCTGGACCGGCCAGTGCCAAGCTGGATTGATGGAAGCGGAATCGGGGGAGCCCAGTTGATCCAGAGATTGCCATGGCATGCTCGAGGTATGAAGCCGCCGGGATGGCATTGCATATAGAGGTTACAGCAGTAGCATGAGGGCTTGCTACAGCCTATATATTTTTCGTCAGCGACAAAGTCAAGGTTCTCAAAATGAAAGTGCTCCAAGACCAGTAATTCAGCGTGTGGACGAGGTCTGATATTTTTGTAGTCCTCTCGGAACTTGCCCCAAATCCCTGCTATCGCATCGACTTCGGCCAGAGCTGCACTCAACTCCTGGGCCAGAGAAGGTTGGTCGCTAGGCACCATGCGCCGGACAATCTCAGCCATATCAGTCGAATTGTCAAAGTAGGGCAGGGCGGCAGATCCACGCGGTGCAACGACCATGACTTGGGCACCCTCGATGTACTGTGGGAATATTTTCGTACCAGAAACAAGGATTCGAATTGCTTTATGCCACAAACCAAGCCGCCCGATGAAGTGACGGATATCAGACCAGATGCCGCGCTGCGAGTGGACGGTGTGCCTTTGAGAGAGAACTTCCATAAATCTGTGCTTTCGAAGGCTGTGGGCATGGGCACACAGTTGATGAGGATCTGACTCCAGCATTTCGAGATGCTCAAATTCCGCCACAATGAGCGTATCTGCGTGGTTGTCAAACGACCATCGCACTATCCCCTAGGACGTCGTTTCTGGCACCCACCTTCGGGCGTGCGCGATCCCTGCATGCTCTCCTTCGCCTTTTTGAGTGCTTGCATTAGCCATCCGATATAGGTTTTGACTCGGGCACGGCTGAAGTCGATGCACCCAAACAGAATCTCGCGTTCACGTTCGTCGTACCATATGGCGACGGAATGCATGTCGTTGAGGCGACCTAAGATCCAACGTACATGGTCACGCGCCTTGTTTCGAGACTTCGAGTTCGATGCAAGCCAAAAGATTGGATGATCGACGCGCTTTTGAACTGCGATTGCCGTGACAGTGTCTCCGCCCTTTTCGAAATCACATAGAAATGCAAGCTGATCCAAAAAGTTGCGCCACCACTTCGATTGTTTGTCCAACCCAAGATCTGAGGTGAGGTCGGGGCGATGCGCCCCCCGAGTTGGGTCCAGCGCGCTGAGGAGGACTAGAGGCTCGTAGAAGCGACGGAGGAGTTTCTCATTGGCGGTAAGTGGAATGTGTCCGGGCATTGCTTCAGTACGTCGATACCGCAGCTACATCAGATTGTCCGGGTTTCGTGCTTGACAACTAGCACTTGCTGTAAGAAATCTCAGTACGACTACCCCGAGCGTTGGATTTTTGAAGTCGTTATCACTCTCGAGCCTCACATGAGGCAGGGCGAGTCAGTGTGTTGGCACAACATGATTAGTTAGATCCATGAGCACCGGCATCACGTCCGATTCACATCGATTTGGTTGGCCCAGGTCGACGGAATTGAAGAGATCCCTGCTACGCCTCCACTCCGCTCGCTTGTCATCACACCTGGACGGGTACAAGAGCGCATGTTCGCGCTATGGTCCTGTAAGGCGATTCTTAGCATCATGTTTACATACAGAGTAGTGGCGGCATTGGATTTTGCTGTCCACGTACAGTATGCCAACAAACACGGGAGTTTCCGACGACCTTCACCATATCTGAGAATTCTCCCAGCAGCTGAATCCTGTGCCTGGGATGGCTCCAAAATGGAAACAGAGTGGTGTCCCTGTGCTGGTTGCAGATTCTGGTTGTCTTCCGTAACGTAGAAAAAGAACAGCCTTTTGATCATGACAAAGGCGGTATCACATACGAGTATGCTGAGGAGAATCAGGTGTTAGGTACTCGCAGGGTGAGGACGAAAGCGATCATAGGGCGGCATGATCCATTTTCCGAAACAGGTTACCGTGTTTTAGAGTCATGCGATTTCCTCCATCTTGGAAGCTTGGCAGAGTCTCTCCGCAGGCTTCTTGTGGTCCGTACTGGTAGGGAAACAAAAAGTTCACCGGTCATCAACTGAAGCTTGACATTTTGTCCTCGGTCTCTACTCAGATCAGGGCTCGATACTCTTCTCTTGCTGCTGAGGCGGTCTCAGCGCGCAAGCCTTCGGGCCACCTCGAACGCGCTCGCTAAACCTTTTCCCTCGACTCCATCGCAATCCTAACCATGGATTCTTCAAGAGGCCCTCCGAGGGTCAAAAACAAGGCCCCAGCGCCTCAGCAAATCTCTGCAGAGCAACTGTTGCGCGAAGCCGTCGACCGACAGGAGCCAGGTCTACAAGCACCGACACAACGCTTTGCTGATCTCGAAGAGCTCCATGAATTTCAAGGCCGCAAGCGCAAGGAATTTGAGGACTATGTCCGGCGCAACAGGATTAATATGAATAACTGGATGCGGTATGCGCAATGGGAGTTGGAGCAAAAGGAGTTTCGCCGTGCCCGATCCATCTTCGAGCGAGCGCTGGATGTCGACAGTACGAGTGTCGTGTTATGGATTCGCTATATCGAGGCCGAGATGAAGAACAGAAACATTAACCATGCGCGGAACCTCCTCGATAGAGCGGTCACAATCCTCCCCCGAATTGACAAGTTGTGGTACAAGTATGTCTACATGGAGGAGACTCTCGGCAACATTCCTGGCACACGACAAGTTTTCGAGCGATGGATGAGCTGGGAGCCTGACGAGGCTGCTTGGCTGGCATATATCAAGCTTGAGAAGAGATACGGCGAGTATGACCGGGCGAGAGCCATCTACGAACGCTTTACGATGGTCCATCCAGAACCGCGCAACTGGATTCGGTGGGCAAAATTCGAAGAAGAGAACGGCACGAGCCAGCTGGTCCGAGATGTCTTTGGCGTTGCAATTGAGACACTGGGAGACGATTTCATGGATGAGAAACTGTTTATCGCATACGCACGCTACGAGGCCAAGTTGAAGGAATACGAACGAGCGCGGGCCATTTACAAGTACGCCCTCGACCGACTACCTCGATCGCGCTCGATCGAACTGCACAAGTCGTATACTCAGTTTGAGAAGCAATACGGTAATCGAGAGGGAGTGGAGGATGTCATCCTGGCGAAGCGACGCGTCCAGTACGAGGAACAGCTAAAGAGCAGCTCCCGGAACTACGACGCGTGGATCGATTTTGCCCGGTTAGAAGAGGCCGGGGGCGATGTTGAGCGGGTTCGTGATGTCTATGAAAGAGCCATCGCTCAGGTGCCGCCCTCGCAAGAGAAACGGCATTGGCGTCGATACATCTACCTCTGGATCTTCTACGCCCTTTGGGAGGAAGTGACCAACAATGATGTGCAGCGAGCGAGACAGGTGTACCAGGAGTGCCTGAAATTGATACCGCACAAGAAGTGGACATTCGCCAAGATCTGGATCATGAAGGCCCAGTTCGAGATCCGCCAAATGCAGCTTACGGCAGCAAGAAAGACGCTGGGTCAGGCCATCGGCATGTGCCCCAAAGACAAGTTGTTCCGGGCCTACGTGGACCTCGAGAAACAACTATTTGAGTTCGCCCGGTGTCGGACACTCTTGGAGAAGCAGATCGAATGGAACCCCTCAAATAGTCAAGCATGGATTCAGTTTGCCGAGCTCGAGCGCGGTCTTGATGACCTGGAACGCGCACGCGCTATTTACGAGTTGGGCATTGAACAGCCTACCCTTGACATGCCCGAGCTGGTGTGGAAGGCATATATCGACTTTGAGGAGTATGAGGAAGAATACAGTCGCGCTCGAGCCCTGTACGAGCGACTGTTGAAGAAGACAGACCATGTTAAAGTGTGGATCAACTATGCACGATTTGAAATCAATGTGCCGGATCCAGACCTGCCCGAGACGGACGAAAACGAAGAGCGGCCTGTTAGTGAGGAGGCGAAGCGGCGAGCACGGGAAGTCTTCGAGCGCGCTCATGATCTGTTCAAGTCGAAGGAGATGAAGGAAGAACGCGTGGACTTGTTGAACGCGTGGCGGTCTTTCGAGCAGACGCACGGCTCCGCTGAAGATATCGAGAAGATTGAGAAACAGATGCCTCGCAGGGTCAAGAAGAGAAGAAAGATCGAGGAGGATCGCTTTGAGGAGTACATTGACTATGTGTTCCCCGCCGACGATGAGAGCGCGGCCAAGATGTCAAAACTGTTACAAATGGCACATGCATGGAAGTCGAAACAGCAAGCGAATGGGGCTCCGGAGTGAGGGAGGTCCGGAGGAAGATTTTGGCTCCATACGGGGTAATGGGTCACTGACCGTATGTCATCGTGCAGCAAGTGCTGAATGCTCGGGACTTTGACCCTCTCCACCAGGTCCGACTGGCTGTCTGCTCTCCAAAATCAATTTCCCCGAGATAACCAAGCCCTCATTTCCAGATGCAGTACCTCGTACTCCGTAGATGGACACACGAGATGACGCGGCAATATTGATCTTCTAATGAACTCCAGCGTTCGGGTCTTGGTCGCCGTGTTGGAAGCACGAGAACGTCTCGCCATGGACGAATTCTCGCACAGCAAGCTGGGGGTCGTCTCCCTGCAACCTCTATTCCCTTCGCTTGCCCTGTAGCGGCTTGGATGCGTCTGGTGCGTCGAGCAGCCGGTGACGTAATCTAGCCTCCATCACACTACTATTGGTGCGTCCCGCGTCAGGCTATTCCCCTTCCTGCTCCCACTCCCATTCCTGTTCCTGGAGCCCCTGGAGCCTCCCGAACTCTGGCAGTGGTACCTGCAGACACCCCACCAGCCTAGTCCAAGCCAGCCAATTCTGTTCCGGCTAGCAAACGCCTTTTGAAACACAACGCCCAGTGATGCCTCCTCTTTCCGTCACGTAGGCGGCTTGCTCGACAGCCCTCTATCCAACGAATCGAGCTTTTGGCACTTTCCCGCTCTAGTTCGTGTCACAGTCGAGTCGGGTGATGCGGGTGAGAGCGCGAGTGTCTGGCCGCGTGGGTGAAGGCGACGAGGGTCAACAATTGGACTACAAGCCATGCAGTGACCACGATGTGAAAGCACAAGCTATTCCCCTTTCCTCCGCGCATTTCCAGAGCTAGCCTATCCCGGCTCTTCTGCCCAGTGGCTCGTACCGATTACTGAGAGACTGGCGTGACTGGGTAAGTGGGAAGTGGCCCGGTCTGCTTGTTCTGCCCTTCGAGAGCCTTCTTTTGCGCTTCGCTGCTTTCCGACTTTCCATGGCTAACGGCCGCGGTCACATTTCACAGACCACCCACCACCCACCACCCACCGTCCTGACCCGCCCACTTTCGACACCGCTCTGTCCATCGTCACTTCTTCTCTTTTGCGGCCTTCAGCGTGTCATCGCCACCGACGGTGTCAACACCATAAGATCAGCCTGGGATCAACATTGGGATCCTCTTCGCTTAAGGTTGAGAGCAGATCGGCATTACGCTTTGCATCCCAAACACTTTCCTGCGGTTCCACTGACCCACCCCGTCGGATCACCGCTGTCGTTCCCACCACCAAAACACTGCTGAAGTGCGCCTACACAGCACCGACGCGACTCTGCAGTTCCTCTCCAACGCGACGACACCATACCGCCGCTCTGCGTTGCCGCTCTCGCAATCCTATCTCCAGCAGCCTGCCGCCTAGGAAGTACCACGACAGTGCACATCGTGACTGTTCTAACGCCGAGCTTAGCCTCGAAAGCCCCAACATCCTGCCTGAAGCTGTTTCAATATCTGCCGGATCCTGCGACGATTTGTGCTATCGTTTACCCTAGACTGAGCTGATTCTCGAAGTGCTGCGGTGCCCCAACGAGTCAAGTCGATTTTCGCTTCCCCGGACCTTCTGGAGGCCCCAAAGCGCTTTCCCAAGCCCGGCCGAAGGATGCAATTGAGAATCTGACAAGGACGTTCGCCTGGCATTGGTGCTGAGACGGCCTGTTGGAAATGTCCGCGCCGAAACCTCCTGTTGCTTTCAAGGACCACTGCTCCATCATCCACGACGGAGTGATCTACGTCTACTCACCCGACGCGTTTCAGACTTTGGAGTTGAAGGAAGGCGCAAAGTGGAAAGAGCAGACAAATGGAGTGTCGGTGTCGGGAGCCGTCTGCGTAAAGGGTGGTGTCGACGGGGACAACTCGAAAGCGGCGCTGTACGTCGTGGGTGGTGCTACGAATGCGTCGACAACAGATTACTCTGGGCTGCAGCGCTATTCAATCCAGGACAAAACGTGGCAGACTGTTGTGCCCGTCGTCAACGTCACCCAGAACCGCTTGAACCATGGGGCAGCATATCTGGACTCATCGTCAACGCTCGTGGTCTATGGAGGATCCCAGAACGGTGATTCGGGGCCGTCTTCCGAGACCTTCACTATCGGGCTATACCCGCCGTACACGGTGCTCGCATACAGTTCCGTTGCACCCCCCGCGGCCAGCCCCTTCATGCTACCGTACAGCCAAGACCGCACCCTGATGGTCGGTGGCAGCTCCACCAACGACAAAACCTTCACTTTCGACCCTATAAATGGATGGCTGGATGTTGGAGTGACATTACCTGCTCCGTTACCTGATCACTCAGCTGCACAGTGCGCGCTTTTCACCCTTCCTGACGGTAGCGTGATTCTTCAGACGTTCAACCTGGGCCAGACACCAGCAACAGTGACAACAAACGTCCTACTGAACCCTGGCGGTGCCCCGGCATCCTTTGGCCAAACCGCTGGAGGAAGTAGCGCAATACCAAGTGCATCCCCTGCACTCATACCGCCTTCGAAATCGAAAAGGCAGACGTCGCTTGGAACTTACCCAGCCTATAACGACACCCTTGCGCCGTCCACAGGCCGAACAGGATCCAGCCTGGCGCAAGGTGATGACGGACTTGTGGCTCTAATTGGAGGGAATGATGATAACCCTCTGCTTTTCTTCAATCAATCCGGCAACGGCTGGATAGCAGCGTCTCAGCTTCTCGGGACGCAGCAGGCCCCCCTCACAACTCCATCATCTACGCCCTCATCAACCGTACCTCCTTCCTCTTCTACTGCATCCACTACTCCTGCTGTATCAAGTTCTTCTGGCAGCAAGACACAAGGTCTCACCGTCCTCGGAGCTGTACTGGGTGGTATCTGTGGGGCGCTAGCAATTCTACTCCTTCTACTATTGTGGCTTAGATCGAGGCGGAGAAAGCGCAGGGCCGAAGCCGAAAAGGAGGAGGAGTATCCGGACGATAAGAAGCATGAAGCAGGATACAACTACGAAGAACGAGGCCTGGGACCGTTGGCGGCGGCTGGCCAGCCCATGGGGAGAAGTCCAGTTTCTTCTGCCTACATAACGGAAGCAGACACCACTGGTATGTTGGGTGTGGCCCGACCAGACCCAGCTTCGCTGATTCGCCGTGTCTCCTCGGATCGAATGAAGACCGAGTATCGCGGGTCAGGCATCGGCTTTGGGCAGGCCCTTTTCAAGCGAGAGAAGGACAGAGAACAGCCCAAGATCTCCATCTCCAAGCCCATGATGCCGATTCTAAATGACTACAAAGAACGTCCGAGCATCGAACTTGGCAAAGCAACACCTGTTGGCAGCCCTGGACCAGCTGTAGCCGTTCCATCACCAAAAGCTGCCGTGGCGGCCAAAAAGCCATCCCAACGCAAAACCGACGAAGGCTGGGGCAAATACTTCCAGGCTGATCGACCATCAGCGAACAGGGCAACATTCTTGACGAGGAGTTCCGGCGAAAAGAGCGGCTTCTGGCCCGGGTCAGGTAACCCTGAAAGCGCCACCAGGTCTCCGAAGTTCATGCTCCGAGACAGCATCGGTAACCCACTGGAAGCGCAAAATGTCGCCGCGGGCAGTCCTAGTCTCGAACACGGACCTCCAAACCTGCAGTCCAGGGGCTTGCAGTCTGTACAAGGTATGACCGGGCACATCTCCCGTGCAAGCTCGGTGAGGACAGACAGCACCATGGATGACGACTACGAAGATGACCAGGTCTTCGAAGGAGCCTTCTCAAGCGGCGTTCCCACCAGTGTGCAGGAGACGGCATGGACGCCCGTAGGCAACACGTGGTCTGGTCCAACCGAACGACCGCTACATCCTCCGAGCAGTTACCTCGCAGCTCAACAAGCCCAACGCGGGCTGGGAATTCCGCAGACTCGACCCCAGGCAACCGCAAGCTCAGCCGAAACGAGTAACACATCTGACACGCAGAGCTCCTCGATCCCCTCTTTTCCGATGCCCAACTCGATCCGCTCCGTCCAACCCAGCGGCACCATGAAGAAATCCACAGCCGATCCACCCACATTCCATCAGCAAGCGACGCGAACTCCGTTCACTGAACCGCGACAAACGACTGACTACTTCAGCCATGGTCGTAAACCGAGCACAGGCCGGCAGCAACCGGAGAACACCAGGAATGTTAACACCGACATGTCGTGGCTCAATCTAGGCACCCCGAGCGAGAATCCGAGAGAAAGGCACTTGGAGAGGCACCGAGAGAGCAGCGGGGCCAGCCGGTGACTATCCTCCCGGTTCTCACGAGTCTTGTATCAATTCCTGCTCGACGATGTGGCGCGAAAGCCGCCCGGTAGCACCACTTCTCGTCCGGGCAAGGTTGTCGATAGAGGATCCGTCGAGGGCCACGGTGGGGAAACCGATAGTGCTAAGAAGCCGAGTCTATTCAGGACGAAGAGCATGCCCAAGAACGGGGCCAATACGTTCCAGTTCCCCCTGCAGGCTGTGAGTACCAGAAAACGAGAAGCGGCGGGGATGGAGCGGGTTGACGAGAGATGGGACGAGGAGGCCGTGCCAGTCGAGTATGGGGTTGAAAGTCCGACGATCCCGCCGCCCGTTGCATTTGCGCCAATGGTCAGGGGGAGCATGAATAGCGATAGCACCACAGGAGCAAGGGGGAGTAAGAGGCTCACTATGTGACAGCCCGGAACGAAATGGACGATGATGAGGCGGTGGAAGGGTGAAGACGAAAGAAGAAGAGAGAAAGAGCGAAAGCGATCGGTCGGGATGATCAGTTTTGTCACATCACCTGACTAACTAATTAACCAACCTACCGACCTACTACAGGATTTCTTACGACTATTGATGCTGGGAATTTCATGTCTGAACATCTACGAATGTGTGTGTGTCTGTCTCTGTACGATAATCATACAGCTACCGGTCATGTGCCATATCCTGGACCAGATACTGCCAGAAGGTGCAAGGTGGCTGGCTCTCTGGTGTGGACGGGGAGGAATAATGGTAATGAATTTCGTAGTCTGTGTCTGCAGTACGAGTGAATGTAAAGATCCTTACCGAGTCCATTTTCTGTGCTGTGTACAAGGTGCCCGCTTGGAAGTCTGTCAGGAGTACAGTAGGGTGTTCAGTCAATGTACTCCGTATGAGTAAGTAACACAGAGTACGGGGGACCTTGTGTGGGACGTGTGGACGCGCTACCACAAGAGGCTACACTTCATGGCCACAAGGCATGCGTGCACGACAACGCCCAACGACGGCGACGCATCAATAACTATGAGAATCAACACCTGAGATTCGTGGAAGTACTGTAAATGCGGGAGTAGTCTTCGTGGCTATAAGGGATATATGACGATGCCCCCAACGGCGGCGATTTCAACGGCTATGAGGATTGACGCAGAAGATTTGTGGAAGCAGCGTACTGTACGTGCGTGAGTGGTGGTGGGTGAGTGAGTGAATGGGATGATTGAGCTCCCATGATGAAAGAGCTGGTAAAAGGACCTCCCTTCCGCTCTCCCTTCACGAGCGCTTGCGGAGCAAATGATTGCGTACGGGTAGAGTAGGATTTCAGATGAGGCCGCGGTAGCGAGCGCGTGCGTCTGCATGTGCGTGGTACTGTATGATGCCTTGCTACAGTACTCCGTACGCGGGACGAGGATCCCCGTGATTTTCTTTTCCGCTGGCCAGCGCCGCGCCTCGCCTCGACTCGTCTCGTGCTGTATTCTTATTGTACTCCGTACACGTACGGTGGGACGACCTCCCCCATGCCAATCGTTTTCGGCACACACAACCAGATATGTACTTCGATCCCTCAGGCCCGGTCCGTTTTGTCCCTTTCCCTCCCCCTTCCTCGTCTCGCTCCTCTTGCACCTCTCGGCTCCGCGCCCTTCCCCCGAGGCGGCGGCCTACTCTTCAATGGCTCGGGTAATTCCTTGACCACTCCTCCCGCGGCGTGCTCGTACAGCAAGCCGACGCCTTCCTTGATCTCCACGGCCGCGAGAAAGTATTTCTCCGGCACGATCTTCTCGGCCACTTCATTTCCAGACGAGGCTGCTACCCCGTCTGTGAGGATCACGCCGTTCTCGCTCCGCCACCATTTCATGTCTTTGTCCTCGGCCAGCGCGCGGCGAATGTCGATGTATATCAGGATCTGGGCGTCGCTGCGCATGCCTGAGATGGCTTTATTCTGGCCTAGCACATCGGCCAGATTCTTGTGACCGTGACCGTGACCGTGATTGTGATTGTGATTGTTCTGGTTCGAAAATTGAGCGTTGTCGTTGTTGTTGTCGTGGTTGGTGTTGTTGTTGCTGCTGTTGACGCCGCCATCACCGTCACTCTGGGCTGCCTCTGATACGGGCAATGACGTCGCTGCTGCCGTCCCGGCTGCCGCGGAAGGCCAAACCTCCTGCAGGCTTGGGCCCGTCGCGAAATGGACGTGGTTCCGTCTCATGCTCTTTAGTCCCCCGCTCTTTAGGATCTCCTCCCACGCGCCGTAGAACGTACCGTGCACGACCGTGTCCGGAATGCTGGCGGGGTCCTCGAGCGATATAGGCGTGAGGAGGTTCTCCGCCTCGATGGTCTTCATGCTGTGGCCTTGGGTGGCGCGGATGAAGAACCGCTTCACATCCAGGTCGGACGGTGGTGTTGATTCAAACCGCGAGATGGCGTGCTGTGTGGTGGTCTCGACTTGTGCTTCGGTTTCTGGTTCGCCGTCGGGTCCCTGCTCGTGTTCGAGACCTGGGTCATTCCCAGGCGGAGGCGGCGGCGGAGGCACGACCCCGTCCTTTCCTCCATCCCCAGCAGCAGCAGCAGCAGCAGCGGTGGCGGTGGCGGTGGCGGTAGAGGTAGAGGCAGGGTCGACGAATTTCAACGCGAACCTCTTCTTCTCGTTCTCTTGCACAACTTCTACGATTTCTGCAAAAGTGACGGGCGGCTTCATGCTGCGTAGTCTCTGCCAGCCAAGCAGATGGTCTATGCGCACATAGCCGTGGCTGTCGATGGGGATCCGCTCCGCCACAGCGGCGTGACGGAGAAGTCGGGAGAGGGCCTTGGAAACGAGGACGGAACGTGGTGGTGGGCCGCCGTGGCCGCCTCTGCCACCGCGAGGCATGATGGACTGAGATGTGCAAAGTTTTTCCTTCCTGCGAGCTTGAGCGCTCAAGATCTCGAAAAGATGTAGTTCAAGGGCCGGGAATGGCAAGAGAAGTGGTTTGCCGAACTGAAGATGTGCTGGAATCCTCCGTACGGCTTGCAAAAAGAATTTATTCCCACCGGACCAAAGTCAAAGTGACTCACCAGTCAGTGGTGGCTGATGGTCGATTCGGCTTTTCTTTCGCAGCAGCCTAGATGTGACTAGATTAGCATTTGCACGAGTGGCAATTTCCACCGAATCTGGGCGTATCGTGTATGTCCTGCGCACAGCTCACTGAGGTAGCTATATAGTAGATCCAGGACTCTGCTTGCTCCCTCAGTGGTCTTTTCCGGGGAGCACTTACATAGGGTACGTCACGGCAAGGCTGAGCTTATCGATAACCGAGCCCATTAGCGCGTTTTCTCAGCCTCGAGCGTTGACGTGCCTGCGCAGGCGTGGCAGGGAGGCATAAGTTCCCATTGCGCATCACCCATCCTATCAAGCACTGCACGCTCTGGTCTTGACAGACGCAAGCGGCAGGCTCCCATCAGTCCTAGTCGATGTTTTCTGCATAAAAGAGCGCACGACCCGAGCTTGATGATCTAGCGGGCTCGAGAACGAGCTTCAAAGCTCTTTGACTGCCGGTCCTGCTACAACTAATGTATAAACCATCAGCTTTTGGAGTTCCAGCACAACGCGAAATGGCTGCCCATCAAGTGATTCATAAATGAATATTATTTCAGGTGCAGCGCTGATAAGACGGCACCGATTAAGACAGATTTCCCTCCATAGCTAGATACATCGGCCGTAGATGCTCCAAATATCACCAACTTTAAATTCGCCTCCCGTCAAAGTTCGACCAGTGCGGCCTTTCATCTTCGGTTCCGTCAGGTTCGCAGCCTTTGACTGGACAGCTTTGCGTGACGGCTGTCGATGTTTGCGAAGCCAATGGCCGCAAAACATCCTATGGAAGAGGCGGCGGACCGCTTCCACACATTCCATAATATTCAAGAAGATTCGTCATGGACGCCAGCCAGAGTACCAAAAATGCAGGGTATAATTTAAATGTAAAGACCATGTGACTCCAGGATCTGCTGCAAGACTTTTGAATCCTTTTGCCAATAAACGCCCAGTCAAGTATGCCGCCAGCTCAAAGGAGATATCAACAAAGAAGAGCCTGACAAGGTCGTCGTTCGCGAGGTTAGAAATTTTGGGCAATGCCGCCTTGGGCCTGTGGGAATGTTGGGGCTCGCTCGATGCGAGTGTTTCTCCTTGCTTGATTGTCACGGATAACGGGTTGGCCTCCAGCACCACCGTATGAACCGTCGCCATAAGGGCCGTGGCTGGCGTTCGCGTCATTGTATATGTTATAAGGTACTTCTTCCTGGAAATATGGACCAGGCATTTGGGGTGCATCTGATGAGGTGTCGGATTGGTGTCCCGAGGAGTAGGCAGAAGAAGCATTGGATGGTCCGCGGCGGATGTCTCCTGCTCCGCTTCGGTGTCTGTGCAGTCCTCCCACGCCAGCCCCCAGTGCCGCGACACCATCGCCACTTTCGGGGTGGCCATTCATCAGAGGAGCCTCGGAATAACGGTCCGACGCGGTGTTGGGCGAGGCTTGCGCACCATAACCGCCTGGCTGGCTGCTGCTCTCTGACAACGCCGGACCACCGGCGCCGAAGCCATTGGAACCGAGAGTGGTGGAGGCTTTTCGGTTCGATGAAGTGGCTCCCCATCCACGGTATCCGCTGTTGTCATCCGGCCCTTCAGAGCCGTTGTCCGCGTACCCTGCCACAGCTGCTAGTGTCGGGTCGCTGTTGGGGTTGAAACCATATTCCGCCATCTCGCTCTTGCGCAGCTCTTCTGCATTCTTCCTGGCTTTCCTCTTTCTCCACAAGAAGAATCCGATCAAAAAGGCCGCGGCAATAGCCACGATAGGGATGACGACGGCTATTGCGATCTTTCCTCCCGAACCCAAGCCACCTGAAGAATTCGCACCCCCGGAGGCACTTAAAGCTGATGGTGTGGTAGTTGCACTGGACGAGGTGGACGTGGTTTGGTCTGTTGCCGTATCGGAGGTGGTGTCTTGGGCAAACGTCGATGTGACGACGATGACCGAGGGAGTGGGAGTTGTGGGGGCTTCGGGCGTGATTGATGGTGTTTGTGTAATTGTGGCTGTCACCTCGATAACACTGGGGCTGGAGGTCGGCGTGGTTGAGGGAGGAACAATTGTAGTTGAGGGAGGAATGGAAGTCACGGAAGTAATCGTACCAGGAGGGAGAGAAGATGTCTCGGACGTAGAAATCGTGTCCGACCCTGTAACGGTGATCGTGGTTGAGAAGGAGGTGGTAAGGCTGGTGACCGTCGTGCCTATCGTCGTCACGCTGACCGAGTCGGTCAAGGCTGTACTCGTGTCGGTCGACATTGTGAGTCGGGACTATAGAGGTTGGATAAGGACACACAGACGCTTGCCGCAGCAACAGACAAGATCGGGACGCGGATTCGAAGGGGCCCCAAAGGATTACCGACACATTGAATCGGACACAGATCGATGTCTTTCTGATGACGAGCTCTCGTAGTGCCGTAAGCGTACGAAAGGAAAAGGTGAGGATGAAGGGAAATCGGAATGGATGTCACCGCGTGGGCGGTGGGTGTGCGTGGATGTGTCAGGCTCTGTGTCAGGACGCGAACTCTGTGTGTGATCCTTGGGTATGGAGTACACTTTGTCCAATGACAGCGGCTTGAAATACGACAGGTGTGAAGATAAGTCGTTTCAACCGCTGCGTCGGAGAATGTGCGTCGACAAGGTCTCCAAATAATAGGTAACGAGCGACAGCCGCACCGGATCGAGGTTGTACTTGAGGGCGAGATCCAGATGAGAATCACGCCGGAGCTGTGGCAAGCGAAGAGGCAGAGCTGTGAAGGACTGAAGGAGAAGGCGAGGATTGTGGCATTGGAACAACTGCGGCTGCGGGTGTGGGTAGCATTTAAAATTGCAATTGGCGGCTTCATTTGCCCTGCGCCGTTTGGCCTAGGGCTGCCGCGGCCGTTGCATTGCTCCTGCCAGATTTAGGTCTGGCGGACGCCTCCAACGTCCCCGACCGCCCCCTCACCCGAGATTTCCAGGCGTGTCACCCACTTCGAGAAACTTGGCACCACCCCGGCTGAGAAGAGGGACAGAAGCAGTGGCAGTCACGATAATCATCCGACAGAAGACGCTAAGAGATCAATGATCGACGCCGAGGCGGCACTCAGAAGTCGACAACCGTTGGCAACCTCGAAGACTGTCGGCAAGCTGCTTTGCGGCAAGCCGCAGCTTCGGTACCGTCCTGATTACGAGATGCCCACGGATAACGCCGATTTGAGACCGCTGCCGTTGGGAAGAAAATCCAGGTGGGCTCCACCACCACCGTGATACACAGGTCGCACCGAAGCGAGGGATTTGTACCACACCGACACCAGCATCATGGACAGTTGCCCTGCAATGAGCCGGCCACCTCTCAAGCATCGGTCACTCTTCTCGATTCAGCTTCATGGCTTCCCACCCGTGCTTCCCCAGGTCAGATGTGCCGGGGTGTCAAGGTTTCTACTAGCCTGCTGCAGGTGTTCAATCGTCCAGTAGGATGTGTGACATGATCCGTCCGTGGATCCTGCATTATGCACGTCGCATGCAACAGTCGGAAGGACGAGCAAACCCACACAAATCGGCAACGAAGTCGACTGCAGCTTCTCTCACATGATGTGTACATAGAGACAGCCGAGCAAACACCACACGTGTCGCGGGCGACGCTGAACCGATCTCTATTTGTGGACCCTCCCATTCATAGTGTACATTCGATTATTTTCATTGAGAGACTTGACGCTCTCAGGTGTTCAAATGACATATGTCCCAGGGCATCTATGAGCGTGCGCCCTGGCCGGCCTGAACGCCGTTCGCTATGCTTCCAAGCTCCACGCAATGACAATACCAGAATAGCGAATATGTAGGTACATCAATACCACCCAGCGCCATCATCGGTTCAAATCCCACTGTGGCCGCAGAGCCGCCGCAAGCTCGTCCCTAGTGCCTGCTACCTCCTTGGGGATCCGGCTGACACGGTATGCACCGGTGCGAATGTTGCGGGCGTGGAGTGCTGAGATTCCAGAACGATTGCTGCGGATACTTCCAGTTTCACTGGCGGTATCGTTCGTTCTGAGTCGCCCTGGTGGTGCGAAATCTAGTGCAGTGAACGTGGACGACTTGCGTAGTTGATGACTGCAGATGTGGTTAGCTATCAAAACCGATTCATGTTGGGACGGAGACTTACGGGCTTGGTATGACAGCCAGATCATCAAACGAGGACACCAGCGGGATGTGCGGTCTTACTGATGGAGAGTAAGGCCTCAGTCCTCCTCGAAGACTGTCGGGGGTACCAGCTCTCTGATTATGGTATTTCTTGGGCGGCGCAAAGTCAATGGGCAAGAAGGTGTCTTCTTTGAGTTTGTGTGGTGTTGGCAGGAGGTTGAGTGCTGCTGGCGGCGGTAGTTTCTGTGGCGGCGGCATCCGAGGTCCGCCATAACGACTAGACGCGGATGAGAATGCTCTCGGGCCGGGCTGGTAGCTTCCATTCGATATTGTGGCCCGATGTCTGCCGTACGTGCCCGCTTGTGACATCCCACGAGGCGGATGGTAGGCTGCCTGATCATTGTAGCCTTCGGGGAAATGACCTTGATGATAGTTGCCATGGTATCCTTCAGAACCATCGTAATATTGTGCCTGTTGGCCATGATTCACATTCTTGCTATCATCGAAGTATTCCTTGTAGAAAGACCGGATTCGATTTGCGCGATCCTCCGGGTTCTCAGACGGATCATCAGGAGGCAAGGGTCGCAGACCCATCATGGACCGACGCGGATCATGACCCCACTGCTCCTGATAATCATAGTAATCTTGATAGTCCTGATCGTCGTAGTACTGCTGGTCGTAGTCACCATATGCTTCGTATTCATCGTAGTAGTCCTCTTCCTCAACTTGAGTTTGAGCCTGGTCTTGCGATGTGTGGTGTTTTGGATCACTTGGGTGCTGGCTGATGTCAGTGGAAGGGGCGTTGGAGTGCTGAGGGGTACTCTGAGACGAAATGGATGCTATTTGACGAGGCTTCTCTGTCTGGACGGCTTGTTGCTTGTGTCCTTGTGAGTCAATGAAACTGAGTTGAGGCAACCGCGGCTGGCGATTCTCAGACGGAGTCACCGCGAGAGTCGGGTTGGAAGGTGTCCGATCATGAGCAGCAGAATCTGCTGATGGGAGAGAAACCGGTGGAGCGTTCTTGATGACAACAGGCGGAGGCGGCTGGACGTGAACAACCGGAGTGTCACCCTTGACTTCCTTCACAGAGGTGGTGGGCTCTTTTTGGTCCAAGTCTTCTTTCGCTGAAGGAGTGCCGCCGCTGATGAATTGCCCAAGATAATTGTTGCTAGCTCGTAAAGCGTTGATCGCACCAATGCTACTCGTCGTGCTGACCACAGAGTCACGGGCAGCCTCAGGTACTGTGGGAGCGAGCAGATTGTTGTTTCTGACTGGCGGTACAGGATTGCGGCTGCCAGAGATCGAACCGGTGGGAGTAACTCGGCCAGATGGCGGTGCTCCGTTCGCAAGTAGACTCTGCTTCGAGTCGGATTGAAATCGACGGCTAGAAGAGCCTGTGAAGCTTGATGAATCATCGTGCGGACTCCTCATGCTGGAAGGTGGCCGAATGGAACCGTCGTCGGGAATGAAATCGGTTGCGCGGTACTTATCGTCGCCAGTGTTCAAGCGGGAGAGGGAGTGTAGCGACTCCCTGGAGTTCTGTAGCTCGGGGGGCAGAAGGTATGGATTGTGGGCTCCCATGTCTAGCGACAAGCCACGTCCTCGTCTGAGACCAGCCTCCTTGCCCTCAGCCATCGACATCTCGGGAACTTTCCTGCCATTCCGCTTTTTATCTCCCTGCTTTGCTACCTCCAGGCCAAAGTCTAGAGACTTGTGTCGGTCGTCGGCATCTTCACGTCTTAGTTTTCTTACGTGCCGTCGATGCAGGTATATCAGCACCACCAATGCAATGCCCAACGGAATCACCACGCCTAATACGATGGGCAAAGTCGTGTCTGATCCACCGGAACCATAGTATTTCTCACAGGCGCCCGAGTTATCATTCTTCCCGCACGAGGTCGTGACAGCTGGAGTCGACGTTGTTGAAGATGCCTCGTCCCTGGCTACGAGCGAAGGTGCCCTTTCCACGTAAAGACCTTCCAACCTCCATTCCGGGATGGGACCCGGACGTGCAAAGGGATTCCTCGCCTGGATCCGGGGCTCGTTCTTGGGGATGATCGAGGAGGACATGACATGAAGGTGAACGGCGTTGAAGATGTCTGGCCCGGTGACGACGACGGGATGTGGAGGAAAGGTTGCTATAAGCAGGGCATTTTGGAGGAAGGTTCGAAGCGGTGTGTGTGTGGAGGGTAAAGTTGTCAACGAGCTGGTGTGCGGTGGCCAGTGTTCGGTCCAGACTCTGCACGGAATCAAGGGCGTGGACCAGTCCACACAACAGCAAAAGGGGTGTGGTTGAAAGAACGACTGAGGTTGGATTCAAAAGAATGACTGTAGTTGGAAGAAACGAGTGACAAAGAGGCCGATCGAAGGCTGTGTTGTTTCCTCAGAGCATTGCAAAAGTCGCTGAAAGCAAGCGATATGGCACACAAAGGAGTTGCAGCTCGAAGGCACCGAGAAGGGCAGATGGTGCCAAGCCTTGATGCCGGGCTCGCGGCCACGGAACTTCACCCCAGTTCGCCGGATCCTCAGGCGCGTTTAGGCTTCACTAGGCTTCCCCTTTGGCGGTGGCTAGGCAGGGTTAAGCACTCGCGTTAACGACGCTAGTGAAGATGAATCTCGCGGCTGTGGTTCACTCGTGCAATCATGGTCCTCTGTTCACCCCGCTGATCTCAGAACAGTGTCAAAGGAGCAGCCAGTGGGCTTCATCGGGCTTTGCGGGCGCACTTTAAGGCGTGCGGGTGGCTTTCGAGTGGCTTCACTGAGTCCAGGAGTCAGACGCATGGCTCGAGTCTGGGGAGAACACGCCGAGTCCCTCCTGTACAGTAGGCTTGGTCAGTAATGTCGGGCGGTACCAAGTGATGCCTATGCCAAAGACTTGCCCGGGAGATTAGCCCTAAACACAGGTACAAGTGAGGTCGCATAGCTCTGCGATCTGTCCATCTTCGAGTGTGACCGAAATGATTTCCCATGCGGCTTGCTGCGCATCTTTCTGCCATTGTCAGCACGACAGTGATTGGAGCAGGTTCCATCTGCGCTGCGGCCAGTCAATTTCCGCATCTCCAACTTTAAGCCTTCACTAAGCTCTCGCGGGTAAAGACTGCACCCACACTGCTACTTTTCTGTGGCCGCCGTCTTGCCCCTGCGGATAATTTTCTGATCAAAGTCGAATTGCATCTTGTGCACGACTTCACGATCTCTCCCTCGGTCAAGCGTGCCTGTCGAATCGAGCAGCAGCATATCGTGGCGAAGGCATCCCTTGCTGACCCAGAGCACGAGGCCATCGAATCGGTTGCTTTCCAAGCATAAGTAATGCATGCTTCATCAAATCGCATCCTGGCCCGTGGGATTGCCTTCCCCCGAGTCAACGCTTTCATGATCTCAAGCCAATCTTGATTTCAGAGATAAGTGAATTGGCTCAGAACTACTCCGTATCTCCTAGGACTTCGACCGCATCGAGTTTCTCACCCTTCCGTCGTATCAGAATTCCATGTTTAGTGCCTGCGTTGATGTCCTGAGATCCTAGGTGGATGCTCAACAACTATGAAATCTTTCTGATGTACGACGTTAGATCAGCGGTATTGGTCTTGCTTGACTTGGGCTTCCTGTCGTGTTGTCGCAAGCATGCAAGCATGTGTCCTAGTCTGACCGAACAAGCCGCGCAACCTCGAGCCTCCCATTCCGAGTTAATCGCCCTGAGACTCCCGCGATGTCTTTCCCAGTGCTGGCGTGACGAAGTGGAGCGCTCGATAATTGAACGCATATCCTCGAGGTCAGCCTCTGAAATCAGACCCCAAATCTGTCAGTGAATGATAGAGACGAGACAACATACTTTGGCGAGCATGTTCCGCTGACAGCCTGTGGAAGATGCTCACGAACATCGCACCCGCTGCACGTCGATAATGCCTAGTTCAGACCTGTTAGTGGGAACGGATACGGTCCTTCTCAAGGCGGGCGAGCACTCGAAAACGCCAGAGTCAAGCAAGATCTTATTAGTAGGGAGCTGAGTAGATCCCCGTGCTAATGTGTGAAACAGGTAGCGTCGTGGCTGCCACAGACCAAGCATTGTGCGAACTGTTGAGATACCGACAGGTGGCGTCGACTGCTGCTGTTCCAGACGAAGAGAAGCTCTATCATGTGGATCAAAGCGCGTTGAGTGAGGAGGTCAGACTCGCACGAGCGAAAGAATTCCAAATATTGCAATGTACATATTGGGCTTCTAACAGGGATACCCTGTCAAATATCATTTTTCATGCTTGTTGCTGGCCGTTGTTGACGCCTGAACTGTGTATCCTCCAAAATCGGCCGGCATAAGACAATGAGTGCATCGAGGACAACGAAAGCGCGAAAGGGGTCATGGAGGCGCAGACTTTCCTTATATCAGAGGCTGAGGCTTAACCAGCAGCTGAAGAGCTTGACCTCCTCAGGCAGAGGCAGTCGTGAGCTCCGCGAGACGGGACGCCGGGACTCAATGGGACAACTTGGGCATCATGGACAGGAGGCGAATAGTGCTTTCTCTACCACAGGGCGACTTACACTCAGCCGAGCATCGGGAAAATGAGGAGTTTGCAGCAGCCGCTCAACTCAACCGAGTTGCGGACCTTTGTCACACGGCCATCGACAGACATAGATCAGTGGAGCAGGTCACTAGAAGTGAGTCGTGGCCTGCAGTGGACAATTCGGCGAGTGCGGTTTGCTAACAGAGACTTGACGCATCCATGACGACGATTTCAGTATACTCTCAGAATCGACCGCTAAGGTGAGACATGCCTGAATCTGCGGCCCCGAAAGTGCAGACTTTGCACCATTCGTGAAATACAGAGGGGTTCTCGGATGAAAAAGGAAGGCGGTAGCTCTGCGTCGTGCGGTGTAGTGCAAAGATAGCCCTTAGCCATGTGCTCGGATGGACGTTTTTGAACCCCTACCCAAGCACCAAAGGGACTCGTTCTGCTGGATGGCCATTTGCCTGGCACTGCAGGGTTAGTCATTGCATACCTAGGTTCTCGTGAGGACAGCGAAGTCCAGAAACCCAAGTCTCTACCAGCCTTACCAAAACTGTGTCTGCGAATGATACAGACGAGTGATGCAGTAGCTTGGCTCGGGTGCTCAGGGCCGTCCCCAAACAGGCGGCGCCCCCAAGAGACGGGACGGCCCCTGGCGCCTCTGGCCAAGCTTGCCCAGTGCACGAACAACCCCTCCAACACCACTGAATGCGGGCGGCTATTGTTGTCCAAAGTACTCCGTACCCCTTCACCCCTCCCAGAGCCTTGGTGGGCGCTTGAACGTCCTTTATCCCTCAACCATCGAAGAACAAACATCTCGCTTGTGACAGCCTGACACTTCGAGACGCTCGGCGTGGTGTTGGCTGGTCCTCGTCGACTGTGAAGAGCTTGTTGCTATTCGTCTCAGCCGGGCCTCGAGAAGCAGATTGAGTGGTTGGCTCCCGAGGCGCCCTGGAATCGACCTCCATCGCTGTGCGTCGAACGCGATTACGAGGTACCTGCAGTTCGACCGATGGCTGGCGCCTGACGAGCTTGCCCAGGGAATGCACGTCTGCTGAACTTCGCAGCTAAGCCGCTTGTGTCAGAGATGATTCATCCTCGCTTGAGGTTGACGACGCAGTGGAGGCTCTGCTGGGGACTGTTTGGTACAGTCGCCAGCTGCGTCTCGACACCCTCCATCTCGCTTCCGTCGCTCCACAGCCCCTTTATAACGATCATATGATATACACACTTGTCTTCACAAGCAGAATGACTCTGTGCGCGAGGCTATGTCATTGAAACCATTTTTCCGGGAGTGAATATGCTCCCGAGTTCACAGCCATTCGCTTGAACTTCACACTTGATGTTTCCCAAGAGAGCACCAACGTTGCAACGACGGATACTGACAGATCTTGGACCTCCTCGCCGCCCAAGCGAACGGCCTTATTCTCGGGAACCCCACCTTCTGCAAAGGCATGCCTGTGGGTGGGAGTTGGAGCCTCACGCCTTGTGCTCAAGGCTCTGCCCCAACGCATATAATACCTTCCTGGTATCACACCGAGCTGGACTTCAAGTTTCTCGACTTTGGAAGTCTCCAAGGCACGAAAGGGAATGATGAAGACCCACGCGGCCACACTCATCATCTTGCTCCCAAGCTTGAGCCGCGCCCAACACGAAGAGAATGGCGCGGAAGACTTTCTTTCGTGGCAGGATTCCCCCAACTTTCGAGGAACCATGGATATCATCTGGTCCTGCCTCTTCACAGTTTTCGTTTGCGTCTGGACAGCAGTGCACCTGAACGTACCAGCTCCCCCCACCACCGACACAACGGTCAGGCTATGGGCAAGAAGGATCAAATGGGGTACGTCTCTTATGTCCTCCTCCGTGCGTTTCGCTAATCTACCGTAGTTGGTAACTGTTGCATGGTTCCCGAGATCGTCTTACTGCTGGCCGCCGGACAGTGGTCATTTGCTCGCGCTTGTTGGCGGGAGATGAGAGAAATCATTGCTGAACAGGACCAAGGACATGAGATGGAGTCGGGACTCTTGCAGTCGAAGCCGGCCCCGAGCCCAGAAATCGAACCCATCGGACCCTACTTCGAGTCGACACCCACCAAGATAAAGACAGAGATAACGCGGCCAAAGCTGCGGCGATCCGAGACCTTCGAACAGCACAAGAAGAGGGAAAGTGACGAGAGATGGACGTTGCGGCACGCTTTCTACGCCAACATGGGCGGCTTCCGTCTTCGAGACAGGACCGGAGCAGTACACATCATCACCGCCAAGCACATCAACTACCTGGTCCAGGGAAAATATATCGACCTTCCTAAGATAACCCCGCTCGAGATCAACGACCGGAGCAAGTCCGACTCCCTAGCCAAGTTTCTGGCCATCATGCAAGTCGGGTGGCTGGCAGTCCAGGTGGTTGCCCGAACGATCCAGAAGCTGGAAACCACGACACTGGAGATCACCACTCTGTCATTCGTCGTTTGCACGTTGGGCACATTCATTGCATGGTATCGGAAACCCTACGACGTGCAAACCTTTGTCATTCTCGAAATGCCCGATCATGCGATAGAGGATATCGACCTCAAATTAACCCGCAGGAGCGACGGCACCGAGCGAGATTTGCTGAAAGAATATGTTGCAGGACATCAGACAAGTAAGGTGGTCGACGACAATGGGAATCTCTTGGCACCATACAACCGGTTGACCATCATCGATGATGGTCTCCCAACATTCACGGCGTCCTTCACGGACGTATATGGCCACGTCTGGGGCCGGAGACCATACGATGCCAACCGGATCAGGAATGACCGATTGCCTGTGATGGAAAAGCCTGTCACGCTGGTCTGTGCAATCACCACCGTCGCCTACGCCGGCCTTCATATCGCAGCGTGGAACATCCCCTTGGCCACCGACATCGAGCAGTTGCTCTGGCGGGTCTCAGCGCTCGCCATGATGGGCTGTGTGTTTGCTTGGTTTTTCATGGATCATTTCGAGGAGTTTTTGGCTCGCAGAAGGTCCAAGAAAGGGCAAGTGACCGGGGTTATTGTCCCCTGGTGGAGGATCCCCGCCTCGATCGTGGTAACGATCGTGTACAGCCTGTGCAGGTTGTATGTCCTGGTGGAATCGTTTGTGGCGTTGAGGAAGATGCCACCGTCAGCATATCAGCAGGTGGACTGGGGCCGATGGGTGCCCCATATTTGATGGACAACGGATGATGAATGATGGGCCACGAGTTTGGATACGCAGCTGATAACGATCAAGGAGCGAAGAGTTTCTGACAGTTCTTGTTAGATATTCAGGGGGTATTCTGTAATTGGCGTTCAGGTGGTTGGTCTTACCGAGGAGTTGGATCGGGTTGAATCCCTAGTACCATTTACGTTCCATCAAAAGCAGGAGGATAGTGTAATCCCCATCTAGAGAACAGTAGTTGTGAAATGCTGAGAGATGGAGACGACTTGGGGAACTGGTGGATGCTACGGGTTTTCAGACAACGGCCAGCCCATAATTGAGGAACTTACTGTACTTTGGATGAACATCTTGTTTATTTGATGCTCCACGATGTCATGCTGTTGAGAGTGCGATGCCCATGGGCTTTGGAGTCGGGCCTGGCCATTTCGTATCAACCATTGCTCGACGTTTCATGGGACCGAAGTTACCGAAAGTCGCAGGTCATCGCCCTACAGGCTGCGCCACATTGTGGTAAGCCACATGCTGCTCTGCAAGATCCCCAGTAACCGCTCGTCCCTCGTTGGTACCTCGTACTGTGATACTTGTGAATGCTATCTCCCGGAGACGGCTGACGATCAATACGAGCCTCAGCGTGCCAAGTTGTACCTCGGAGACGCATCTGACCGAAATTTTTGGGCCCTTGATCTTGACCGTCTCCGGGTCAAGGTTGTCCCCCTGCCACGGTACAATGGACACCTCTGGTGCGTTGCTTTTCTTCCTCGCTGGATTGATCGTGTGGGCTGGTATCACCCGTTGGAAGAGACAGAAGGTATGGGTGGCATTCCGACTCTTACACCGAAGTCAGGGATCCGATGACAGGCAACGACATCCGCGTCTCGCTGACGCTCCAAATTTACAGGATTTGACGGCTTTCGCTGCGAGGCACGGTTGCAAGCCGCCACAAAAACATCTACACAATCTGTTGTGGCCGCCCTTAGGCCTCGATAAGTAAGTGTCTGATCAAGCTGACTACTGGTCCCTGCTCACACCAACCTCAGGACGCTCCCAACCATCAAGGCAGACCGAGCAGGCCGTCTTCCGGCCTTCATGCTGCAAGAATTCGAGAAGCACGGAGACACCTACACGCAGCAATTACCCGGACAGTATGTCATTCTGACCAGGTCACCTGCCAATGTTGAGGCTGTGTGCAAAACTCGCTTCAAAGGTGCCTAAGTCCCCTGTCCCTCGCGGACAGGCAGATGCTGATGCGCGCCCCTAGAATATGAGATTGGAGCAGACCGCGCTGGCAACTTTCGTCCGCTCATTGGGCATGGCATTCTCGCATTAGACGGCCGGGAATGGATGAAATCCCGTGCCATGTTGAGGTCGGCTCCGAACGTGTTGCCCTCGATCTCGAGACATACTGACTGGGACCGGTCATAAGACCGCATTTTAACAGGAACACCGACCATGATTTCATCCAACTGGAAAGTCTTGTCCAGCATTTACTTGGCCGGCTTACTGCAGCCTCCCGGGATAACGAGGCGGTCGAAATTTCGGAACTTCTGCTCAAACTCAGCACGGACTTTGCTACCAAGGCCATATTCGGCCGAAGTACTGACTCCTTGCTCTTCGGGCGACAAGAGCTGTCGGGCGAACGGGGCAAAGGGAGCGCAACAGAGTTCTCGGAGGCCGCGAACCATGCCATTCATATGCTTGGACAGAGAGGGCTGCTTATCAACCTCTACTGGATTGTCGACTCTCCTCGGTTTCGCAAATCCTGCAGGATCGTCAAGCGTTTCGTGGACGGGTACCTGTCAGAAGCTGCACAGTCACAGGAGACAAGGTCAAAGGCTGGGAAAGAAGATTACACGAGTAGTGCGTCATTCATGCGATCCTTGGTGAGCAGAGACCAGGCTTCCCCGGAGGTGATCAGAGATCAGCTCCTCGCCCTCCTGTTGGCGAGTCGCGACACTTCAGCCTCATTCGCGGCATGGGTGCTGTATGCATTGGCTCGAACTCCACGGGTTATGGCTAAGCTTCGTGGCTTGATCAAGGCCCGTGTTCGAGGGGGAAGACCCCCGACTGTGGCGGACATCACAGCTCTCGCATATCTACGCCATGTCTTGAACGAGACGCTGCGCATCTTTCCCGTAGTGCCCCTGGATGGGCGCACGGCGAAGACCCACACATGGCTTCCAGAAGGGGGTGGCGTCGAGGGCAGAGACCCATTGTTGGTTCCAGCTGGAGCCAAAGTGGCGTTCAATATTTATGCCATGCACCACCGACGCGATATCTTTGGCGTCGACGCTGACGAGTTTCGCCCAGAACGGTGGGAAGATGACGCGCGCGGCCCCAGGGCTGACTTTGAAGCCGCTTTCGCACCGTTCATCACCGGACCTCGCGTCTGCTTGGGGAGTAAGTCTTGACCAACAGCCTGTTGGCCGATAGCTCTAGGAATAATTGTGCTGACCCATTTGTGTCAGAAAATATGGCAATGATGACTGTTTCATATGTCGTCATCCGCATCCTGCAAACCTTCGACACGATTGATCCCGCTGCAGCCCCCGCGTCCACAGTCCTGGGCCGGAATCACGCCAGGTGGCCGAGCGAGGAGACTCGATACCAGATGGAGGACGGCGAAACTACGTTCAAGATTGGGGTCACCATGTCTCCTCGGGATGGCGTATGGGTCAAACTCCAGCCCGCCACATTGAACCCTTGAGGCGCATACAGACGCAGCTGTTGGAGCCTTTTGCCTGGCAGATTCACAAAAAGTACGGAGTACGAGCAGCAAGAAAGGATGCTCGCGTAGCCGATGCGAAGACTATGGTCAGCCTATTGGTGCGGCCGCAGTTCTCATTCGCCGACGTCCTTGACGCCCAGCTGGCCAGACGGACGCCGTGCAGACCGCAAAGATGAGCAATCCTCGACGCAGATGGTGCCATCATGTCTGATGGCTTGGGGCTCGCCAGCCTAGGCCGGTCTAGGCAATTGCGAGGAGCCTCACATGCGTGGAGATTGCGGTGCCCGGAGAGCTTATTGTACGCAGACGTGTAGCTCGTACAGCGCACACCAGAACCTGGATGACCCCCCACAATAGTCCCTAGCTCGCACGGACTCACTGGACGGTGCCTGGTACCCGTGCGCAAGACCAGATGGATCGGCCCATCAGCCTCGATGGCCCCTTCAGGGCCGTGGCTTACACCTTGCGCCACCTCATATAATAGCACGCGGGCAGGTGTCTCAGGTACAATACTCCGTCCTCGTGCTCTGTACAGGGTACTTGCTATATATATAGGATATACCCGATCCCTCAGTGCGTTTGCAGATGTCGATGTGCTATACCAACTGTACCACCAGCCCCCTGATTTTCGGATCACCTCTCCCCCCCCTCGTGACACCTAAGCCCCCCGGGAGCCCCGTCTTTCCAGGCGACGTGACGCGGCAGGAAAGCTTGAATCGCCGCACCTTCGTACACGCCATAACTCAAATCCGGCCATCACCCATCACCCATCACCAGCCCGCGCAAAGCCTCGGCAGGGTTTTGGCAGCGATCATCGTCACCCCCCAGCCCTGCAGTTCTGGGCGCAGACCGCAAGACGGCGATGCGGACAACCCCACTGTGCCACATACCACTACGTCGTCTTGGAATGCCAGTGGTGCCAGTACTGGGATAAATAATGGCAGCATACCTGCTTGGATTCGTCTTGTATTTCTCCCCCCTTGACCTAACCCATCTCTACCTTGTGGTGCCTGACTTTGTCCCGGCCCATCTGCGCGACCGCGAACATGATCAAAGATCTAATGCGTCTGCTCTTCAGCACGGGACTGTCATCCACGGCCCCCAGCGATGATGACTTCTTCAACGAGCCCTCCACAATGCGGCCCCGGCTGACTGCCGCGGCGGCGGCGGCGGCCAAGGAGTCCGGTTCCACACAGGATTCGGCGTCACTGTCGACCTCATCGACGTATCAGGTTGTCGCCAGAGGCCATCCTTGCACCAAAATACATTACGCAGCACCCAGTGCATGAACACGATTTCAAATTTCGCCCCCGCGTGCGCTCGATATGAAGCCGAAGCCGAAGCCGACACTTTACCAGCACCAGCACCACCTCCTCCAGCAGCAGCAGTACCGTGGGCCTAGAGCTCCCCCGCAAACCATTAGCACCGGACTGATTGTTCCCGCGGGTCATGAGATTTCAATGTCCATGTCTCACATTTGCAAGCGATGTCTCACCTTGCATAATGCCTTCTTCTCCTCGATAGACACCGCACGACGAACCAGAGCAGTCCTTCATATGCGCAACACCTAGCTACAGTTCCCACCTGGCTCCGATCCGCCATTCCGAATAATCCAGGTCGCACTCTGCCGCGACGTTGTCCTGACGCCAGAGTTGTTTGCCACTCGTTCATCCATTCATCTGTTGCGTGGCATCTCATTGCTCGCACGTCACATTGCTGCTGGCGCATCCATGACGCGGCACTCGGCACGGCCACTACGAGTGCCGGGTCGACCAAAACCCCCTCACGACAGCGACATCGGTTACCCAACGTGCCAACCACCACACCCCACATCAACAGCTAGCTGCCTACTGCGGTAGACCACGGTCTGGCCGGGCAAGTCAGCAAAGCACTGCTCCAAAGAACCAGGTGAACGTCTGGATCACGACACATCAACGAATTTCCTTCCTCTTTCCTCGTTCGCAGAACGCCAAAGAAAGCTACAGTGCAACAGTGCAACAGACACACATCACGACATACCCCTTGTGATTTGGTTTGATTTGATTGGATTCCCAGCAACTCGTGCGTCGTTCACCAAGGAAGTAACATCGACGGTGACATGATAGGATATATATGATATATATGATATGATACCACACCATGCATGCCATACCATGTCACACCTCACCGCACCACACCATACCATACTATACCATACCAGAGGACACGACACGGCACGACATGACACGAGCACAGCCGACGGCTGGCTTGGGATTTGCTAGCAGATACTGGCTTACTAATAAGGAAAGCATACTCGAAATCCTGAAATACTAGAAACGCTGGGAAATCTCGATTGGCTGTTGCACCGCGCCTGCACCAGAACATCTCATCTCGAGGATGACGGGATTGCTATGCCATGCTATGCTACGCTATGCTTTGCTGTGCTCTGCTGTGCTATGTATGCTGTACTCTGCAAATAACGTACATAGACAAGAAAACAACAAGAAGAATAAGACAATAACTCCCGCTTGGACCTAGACTTGGACTTGGTTTAGTACTGTCTAATGAGCTGCCCGCAATGATCATCTGAATACGGAGGACAGCACAGTACAGGACTTTCAAGCGATGATTCAGGGCGTGCTGCACGACAGCCTACATAGTTCCTAGCGTGAGTTGAGGTGAGATGAGAGGAAGGAGACGAGAGAAGGCGAGACCAGGTCAGATGGGCGGCAGACCAGTTTCGCCGTGAAGACGTGCCGTGCCATGTCGTACGTGGTCGTTTTGGTCGTCTTAATCGCCTAGAGGCGTGTGTACCGTCTGACTGCGCAAGGCTGGTGCACACACACACACACACATGCTATCTTTCGGGGATCATTGTAGGGCCACCAGACACGTACGTGGACTGAACATCCCTGGGCTTCATTCTCCGTGCGGACATATATGTGACTCGACAACGGCAATATTCACGTGACCAACCTTGAGCTTTTATTGCAACAGTGGTCCAACCCGTTTACTGTAGCTTACAGAATCCGCCCTAGCTATTCCTGATCGCTATGCCCCGAACACCTTGCTGTCTGATGATGGTCACATAGCGTTGGCCGCTCTACTGTGTACAAGTCTCCGTGAGGAAGAAACAAGCTCAGCGGGTCTCGGGAACATGTAGCGGAAGCTGACGACCTCAAAACTCCATCGTGTCGCCATTCCTCGACGAAACCTTGGACAGATCCAGTCTCGATTGACTTGGATCTACCATCGAGTCCTCGCCGTCCTCGTCTCCGTCTTCTTCACCGTCAACGTCAAAGTCGAAATCTCCACGTTCGATTCGACTGCATTTGTCCAGAACAGCCTGGTACTCCTTCCTTAAGTCATCGAGCGTGATGACCACGCGTCGACGCTTCTTCATCTGCAGATCGTCGCTTTCGTTGCTGGTATTGGCATGGTCTTTGACATTCACACCGGTCGCCGCGGGCTTCTGGTCCTCGATGTCCACTATGATGTATGCTTCCTCTGGCGCCACACAGGCCATCAGATTTATCAGGGCAAGCAAGACGTGCCTTAGCGCCGTACCGCGTGGATCGTGTCTGGCTCGGCCCGACTTCCGGATCGCCTTCAGCCGATCATACAGGAACGTCACCGCGCCCCGATAGTCTCCTTGCGAAAGACGAATGGCGTGCATGGTGGACAAGTAGTCTAATCTTCTGTCGCCCAGTGCCCAGACCGAAGTCGTGAATTGCTTTTTCGACAGCGAAACCAGGTGTTGATTCATGTGGCGTGCTAGATGCGGATACATAGCCCATGGCAGAGACTGCAGTATGCGAACTGCGCCTTCAGGTCCTGAAATAGAGAGATTGGAGTTTAAGATGGCGTCGACAAGGGCGGTGACAGAGGACCGCTGCAACACGGGATCCGGTAGCTGGACGAGAGCAGTATATGCCTTCTCATATCTCGACAGTTTGAGCTCTGCGTTGAATAACCGAGATAGTACTTCGGCTCGGAAGTTGGATACCGGTTCTTTCTGACCATGCTGTAATGCTTCAAGAGCTTGGTGCGCGAATTGAGCTGCTTCATTATATGCCTTGGCAGTCTCAAAGAGGGTCATGACATGAACCAGGTACATTGGGATGCCATTGTTGAAGCACTCGGCTTCAATCGTCGAAAGTAGCCCTGCCGACAGAGCCACAAGATTGCCGACCGCCTTGCCGCATGCAAGACCATACGACGCCTTGCGAAAGTAGTATGCAGCCACGTCATATTCCCCCTTAGAGACCATCAATCGGCCTTTGACATAACTTGACCAGGATGTTGAAGGTTGATATCTCAAAAAGTCGGTCGCGAGATCGAGTTCTCCCTGCTTGAGAAGGTCGCACTGTAGAAAGACCGGGGCTTCTTCTGGATCAAGAGTGTCTCTGCCGGAAGCCCAATCATCGATCTCCGAGACTTGGTCTGTGATGAGATACATTAAGGGTTTGTCAACGGCAGGTTGTGGTCGAACTGCTTTGCTCAACGCATCCTCGAATATTGACACCGACCTCTTGTCCTCAGAGGTCGCGTTCGCCTGTCGACGAGTAGCATTGGGATGTCCATCCGCGCCAAGGATCTCCAGGGGCACCAGCCGTGAGTGCGATGCCAGCCAGAGATTGCGTTCGCAGAGGCGTAGAAGCGGAGCGATCTGATCGTACAGTTCAGCGGCATCGAACACTGCGGATTTGGTCTCCTCCTGGCTCAATTCGCCCTCGACGAAAATCGCCAGGGCCAGAAGATCGATCAGGAGCCGTCGCTGCGCAGACAGAAAGTCACGTACACCTGCTGACAGAAGTAGGCTTCCAAACAAAGTATTTCGTAAAGCACTCTTCGACCTCTTGCTCTTAGAAACGAGCAGCTCCAGCACGCCCAAGAATAGTTCGTTATTGAGACCCGATATCCCCCCGAAGGAGGCAAGATCCGATTCTAGCCTTTCGAAAACGTCGTTCGACACAGCGTCGCCATATCCCACACTGTCATAGATATTCAATAGCCGAATAGGAGTAATATGTTCGCCGCCAATCGACAGATCTTCTGTGATGGCGAGTGTAAGGTCTTGAGCGAGCTCTGGAGGAAATGCCTCGCGAAATCTCCGAGCCGCGGCAATCAGCACAGCGAGTTCGACAAACGGTTCTCCATCTTCTGCGCTGACCTTCCGATGAGGCCATCTTCGGGCAGCAGTCTCTTCGAGGTTTTTGACGTCGGTGATGCTGTTCTGCTGGAGCAACTCCATTTTGCTGCATTCCCGTACAGCGCAGCATTTGTCTGCCAATGTGATCCACACCATCTCACTGAAGGCGTCATAGGCCAGTGCAAGAGGGGCGTTCCTGCTTTGATTGACGTTCTCCGCAATTCTGTAGAAATTACGCCACTGGGCATCGGTGTCGATCCCGAATCGGTCAAAGTCCATATCTGAATCTCCGTACTTGCGCAGGGAGACATTTGCTGCGACGGCTGAGCATAATCGTTGGCGCAGCGGCGCGGACCTATACGAGCTTGTTGGTTTCACTGCCATAGCTTGCTCGAACAAGGACAATGCCGTCTCCAGACTTGTTTCCGAATATCGTCCGGGGTGGAACAAGAAATCCAGCCACTTTGAAGCTGCATCCTCCTGGCCGCCTTTGACCAATTCTGGGGGTTGGCTCTTTGCCGATGCCAATGGATTACACTTGACCCAATTAGACTCTTCCCACGAGCTTGCAATGCTACCAAATTCGAGTTGACAGTTGTAGAGCTGGTGATAGTTGTGATTCCGCCAAAGCACCCATAGTTGAGCAGACTTGAATTCAGCCCCGGGTTCGAGCTTAAATCCGATCATCGACCAGACAGTGTTTCCCGTCTCATCTGGGTCTGGAGGACTCAGTGTCACCGTCGGATACTTGTCGTCAATAGAGAGCTGATTTGTAGAACTTTCATTGATGTCCCAGAATTTCAACTGTCCTCCCTTTCGAGAGCTGAAGGTCAAGACAGTAGGATATTTCTGGGTGGGCTTCTCTTTGAAAAGCTGTATCAGAGCGTTCTCTGCTGGATTGAGGTGCGTCCTGTCATTGGCATCTCTTGCTAAGCCTAGCAAGTCCTTCGTAGCCAAGATTTTACCATGTTCCAAGTCCCAAATCCTTAGCGTGTGGTTGAGACAAACAGTGAAGAGCAGATCACCATCCCCATTCCTTGATAAGGCCATGGCCTGGGCCGTTCTCGGGTCCAGCTGCGTTGAGCCATATTCGACCGTGTGTACTCCACGGCCGACAAGTCCTCGAATGGACGCGCCCCAAGAGCGGTCGTCATATTTGGTCTGTACCCAATCCGCCTGGACAGCTTCGCGTCTCAGCCTCTGCATTCTCCCGCTTGCAAATGATAGGAAGACATCCAGCGGACTGCTGGCGTAGATGCGGTGTACCGTATCAATGCTCAGGGTCGAGCTTTCCATGGACTGACACCATTGACTCAGATTCTCATTCTGAAGTATCCGAGCGTAGCGGAATGCGTTTGTGGGTATGCAGAGATTGAAGATCTCGTTTTTGAGGGTACAGACAAAGGCGTGGATCTCGTCGCCGTTGTCAAGGTCGGCAAACGTGACACCGCAAGGTGCAATCTGATCCTGAAACTCGAATCGAAGAGTCAAGTATGCCTCTTTGGTGTCGCCTTCACTCCTGGCAAAGTCTGCGCATTGCACCTCCAAGACTTTTCCATTGTCCACCACTTTCCAATAAAACGTCCTCGGGTAGCTCTTGGACTCTCGGAAATAGATGGAGCTCTGGGAGGCAAGGATGTGAGATGAATATGTCTGCTCGTCTTTGGTGACGGCTTTGCTGTCGCCTGGTTTCTTGGAGGAGAATTTGGACTTGTCATAGGATCCGTTTGCTCTCGGAATTTGGAGGTTCACCACTGAGGCCGTGGTGGCAGGTGTCACCTGGAAGGCGGTCTCAGTGTAGAGATAGAGCATCTTGGAGAGAGGCGCATGGATCGCATCAGGTCACAAGTCGTTCGGGCGGAGAGGCGATGGAACGATGGGCTTCATGGCAGCGTTGGTCCGAAATGTTGCTGGGAGAGACCTCAATGTTGGCTGCGACGCGACTTGCCCAAAAGTCGCGCTCAATACAAACGCCAAGGATTTTTACTTAACTTTTAGCCTCGCTTCACCTCAACACCAATATTACGCCGCCAGCAGCTTGCGCCATAGACAACATGAGGCAAAATTATCTCTCAGCCTTAGCCTCATCAAGGAACCACTAGGCAGCAATGGAAGAGGTGTGGGTTGCACATCGAGTCCAGCTGAACCGAGTTTCGCGACGAGTTATCCTTGCTAAGTTGAGCCTATTGTGATAGTATGTTTTCGTTTCCTAGACCACCTCAAATCCAGTCACCTCATAATGCTCCCCGGGGATAACTATGCCATCGAAAGTCAAACAAGGGACGGTCAGAGGTCTTCGGCTACACTCCACTATAGCCTGGACAATTCAGGCTCGTCGCCGTAGTTCCAGGGTCAGAATCAGATGACCCAGTTGTCAACCTCGCAACAGAAGATCTCGCTTCAATACGGAGTACTTAGTCATTGCTTATTGCTGGGGCGGCAGCATGAAACCTGAATCTTTGCTCTGTCAAAGCCAGACCTCATTATATGGCATAGAAGACGAGTCTTTCCTTTTAACGGGACTTCTCCCAAACACCACAAATCTGACCCACAGTTTCGCCTTAGGAGAAGTGACAAGGATCGGATAACTGGTAACCGGCAACCCGAGAAAGCGTAGGTGTTGGGGACCAATTGTTCAGGGTGGACATGCCCTTCAGATACTATTCGGTTGTCACACTTGAGCTAACGTGCTCGCGTTCAATTAGATATTGCGGAATTGATGTGGCAGCTCATGCGGGTTGGTACGCGCTGTTGGATACGCAGTATACAGTACGTACGACAGTACATTGATTACTCGAAGTGCGGTGATAGTAATCCGTACTCCGTCCGGAGTATGAGAATGATGATCAAGATGGTGGAGACCAAGACTGATGCCAGAAGAGGATGAAGCTTGAATTTAGCGCTCAGGTTGGCGCTGGTGATCTCATCGGATCTCGTCCTCATATGCTCAACTGCGATGCCGTCCTTTTGCTCCTGGGATCAACACGAGTACGCTGACTGCAAGGTACCATCTCACTCTTGTCGTTTTGCATACCGAGCCAGAGCCTCAAAATGTCGGAGGGTTCAATCCTCTGGTCACCAGCACCCTATCATATCATCTCGTAAGCTTCCGCCCATACCACCAGCCATACTGCTACTTTCAGTGTTAGTATACGAACTGACACCCGCCCAGCTATGGCATCCTCCTCGGCACGACGACATTCCAGAGCTTCGTAGGAGGCATTGTGGCCTTCAAGTCCCTCCCTAGAGCCCAGTTTGCCACTCTGCAACAAGCGACATTCCCAATATACTTCGCTATGCAAACTGCGTTGCCAGTGGTTCTAGCATTGACCTTTCCTGCCGAGCGGACAGCCATCTCGACGCGGCCGGGGAGCTTGTCAGGCGTCCTTGACGCGGAAAACAGACTCCAGGTCTTGACTCCTCTGGCCACAATGCTGATAAGCGGGCTTCTCAACGTTGTATACTTGGGACCTGCGACGACAAAATGCATGCGGGAAAGGAAACACCAGGAGACGAGGGACGGCAAGAAGAGCTACGATCCCGGCCCACACAGCCAGGAGATGCAACTGTTGAACAAGAAGTTCGAGTATCTGCATGGCGCTTCTTCGCTGGTTAACCTGATGGGCTGGGTCGCCATGCTGTGCTATGGTTTCTATCTGGGCGATCGATTGTCGTAAGAGAAATGTGCTTCATATCCAACAAACCCAGCTTCAGCCTTACTTCAATGTCCATGCTCCCACTTGTTCTGCTCTTCTCCGGCTTTGAGGTTCACACTCCATCTTGTCCAGATTCAAGCCTTCTCCACATGCTCACCTGCAATCTTGTCATTGGAGCGAGGTGCCATTTCCTGCTCCGCTTGCCTAGTTTTGACCCTCTCAATCCCAATGTCTTTCAGGCGGTGTCCTGATTTCCGAAGATTCTCCAGCTCATTCGCTTGTTCCGCATACTCTGCCCTTTCACTCTCGCTCATTTCAGGACCGAGAAACAGGAACAGGAACTGGTAGGCCCAGACCGCACCCATGAAAATACCAATAACCTTGCCATAGTCAAAGCGTTTGACTCCATTATGGGGTGGGAGCGGGTAGTCCTCGCCGATTACAGCTTGAATCGTCGCTGACGCCGACGACGCGAGGTTTCCGAGCTGATATGTAAGTCCAAGGGCTGTGGTTCGAAGAGCTTCTGGCACAAGTTCCATTAATGTGATTGGTATGGGTCCCCAGACTCCGCCAACGAAGAACTGCAGGAAGAATGCAGATGCGACTAGGCTCATGTTGCGTGGAATGATGTAGGCGGGGACAAGGGCGCCTCCGCACACGCACGCGGTAAGCATTGTCAGTCTCCTGCCAAAGAATGTGCTGACATAGCCGAGAGTGGTGCCGCCGATCAGTGCGCCTATCTGCCCGACGACGCTAATCACAGTCACATCGGTAGGTCCTAAGAGCACTTGGTTCTTGAGGAAGGTCGGATAAAAGTCCTGGCTGCAGCACATTTAGCATTCACGAGTAACGCTGTGCATGCATTGAGACCAACCTTCCATGGCTGCAGGAGTTAAAACCTGTCATCAGGATGACGAGGTAGACGAAGAGCACCCAATTCAGTTTGATGGCGACCCAGGAATCTCTGAGCCACGCCTTATATCCAGCGGCCCTGATGGCGGAATGCCCACCACGTTCCTTGTCAGCGATGAGCTGAGCTTCTCTCTCAGCCCTCATGACCTGGAAAGTATTCGTCTCGGGCAGCCACCACCGGAAGGCGATGATGAAGACTGGAGGCGCAGCTCCGAACCAGAAGAGCGAGCGCCAGCCGTGAGACGTTGTAGGCACGAGCTGACGAGAGTCAATCCATGTTCGCACGAAAGCGCACGAAAGACATAATTGAGCTTACTGCACGGTAAAAGATAGAGGCCAGAAGGTATCCGGCTGCATAGCCTTGCTGGAATAAACCCGAGAGCAGTCCACGAGCATCATATGGAAGATCCTCGAGAGCCGTCGCCGCTGCCGGACCAAACAGACCTAGTATGGATGTCAGTGGCCTGTTTTCTTCATACAGATGTGTACTTACCTCCCATGGCGATGCCATACAACGCCCTAACTCCCAGAAATTGTGGTAAGGTGTTGCAAAATCCTGACGCCAGCTCCAAAACAATGAACAGCGCCAGGTTGAAGATCATTGGGTATTTCCGCCCATAGCGATCGGAGAGGGTGCCAAAAATCAAGGCCCCAACTGACCGGAGCATCAGTGTAACGGTGAGACCCTATTACCAATGAATCTTCGAAAACAATGTCAGGTATGATGTGATGTACGCACCCAAGAGACCGCCGAGTTCTCAACGTCGAAGTCCGCCGCGATCTCGGTAATGGTGAGCGAGACCGTGAAAAAATCGAAGGCATCCCAAGTCCAGCCCAAAAAGCCAGCTAGAAACATGAGCTGAGGAGGGTCAGCCAATTCAAAGGACTCAGCCTGCTATGCCTTTACAGACCCATTGATGCTTGTCCAGTTCCTTGAGGATAGTGTAAGGGTTTTCCAAACGCGACCTGGGCGGTTTCAGGCTCGTTGGTCTGGTAAGGAGATAACGCGCTATCTGTCTGGGTGAGTAGAACCACCCCGCTGCCATATAGTTACGCATCTTGAAGGATTGTTGCTTGTAGTTGAGGTGAGAAGTAGGCCTTGGAGCACGGACGGCGAGACGAGACAGTCTGCGCCCACCATGAAGCGCCTCTGAGCCAGATATATAGCCCAGTAGTCAACGTAACCCCCGGTCCTGCCAAGTCATGGCCGATGAGATATGTGTTCTCCTACCTTTCACAGCTTCCCTTCTGAGAAGTAGCCAGGGCTCAACCAGCCCACATGGCTATGTGGGTTGACGACGGCGTTGGTTTGGCTCGTTTGGTAAAAGAGATCATCGTCGTTTCCCCAACTCTCACTGGAGAGCGCAGCTTGTAGACCTTGTTCGTGGCACACGTTGTCATGCTGCCCAGTGGAGGCAGAGAATACGGTCCTATCATCCGGAGCTATGCTTGCAGAGCATAGCTGCATGCGACATGCTTCCATCTTGGCTTTCGACGCCGTTGACTGAGGCCAAGAATACCGTCCTGCAAGCTTCCAAGCCAATACCGCTTAAGATGTGGTGCATGGTGCTTCGTCCTGATGGAATGGGGACCCCGCATTATAGGTTACAACGCAGATCGCGTGTGCTATTGTGCGGGGGGTTGGAGCAAGAACGACCAGGTAGCCTGCAAGAGTGTCAGTTTGTAACCCTCGGCAGATGCTTGCTCCAGTAGAAGTCGCCCAGTCCTCGGCTTTTGCTCCATGTTGACCGGGTTATCAAACGGCATACCGGATGGTCCACCGATTTTTCCGTGCACTAAGAGAAATAACAGAGGTGCTTCTTGCTCCATCACCTCCTCGGTAGCCGGTCGGCAAATACTCTGTGTGCCGACGATATTGGTTGCGTAGTGCTCAAGGTCGCGTGTGATAGTGATCTTACGCCGCATATCTTCCTCGCGCGCATTGCCCTAGCTTTATCGGCGTGGAATTGATGCAGTTAAACTGAAGAGGATTATGACAATGCAGTCCGAGGACCGCTCAAACCCTTTCACCCGCAGGATCCGGGGCTTGTTGTATTGCCTTCCACCTTATGCGTCAGAGAGGATCCGTCAGAAAGGTAGTCAATGAGCCCTCGGATTGGGTTGACCAACCGTCCTCGTGAAGTGGTGGAAGCCTAGCTTATCTTGTGGCTTACCATTTCTGACACAATCTCTGAACGACGCTCCGTACGCTTTCTGTTCAGCCAGTCATAGAAGGCGATAAGA